TCTGCACACATGTTGAAAAGGTGTGGAGACAGGACACATATAGCCTTTATAAATCTGATGGAGGTTGCTATGAGTTGGTATCAACTCAACGGCAGTTGAGTATGCTTTGGTTTTTAGTTAGTGTAACGTCTTGCTGTTGTTTGCTACCATACAACTCATGGTGAATCTATGCACAACAGAAGGAAACCCTGCCTGGTCCTGTGCTATTCCACTATCAATTCAGATTGGACCATTGTAATCCATAGGGTTTTCATTAATTGATGATCAGAGTTAGATTGCCAGGCCCTTCTTCCCGTTCTAAATCTGGTTGCTCTATTGAAACCTGTTCAGCATCATAGCAGTCCTCAGGTCTGCACTGGCAGACAGGTAGTGGTTAGGAGTGAAGCACTGACTGGCTCTCCTTCATTGTTGTTGTGGTGGTAGTGGTTAGGTTCCACTGAGTTGAGTATGACCCATAGTGACCATATCAACAACAGATAGGAACCCTGTCCTATTCTATGCCATCCTCACACTTCCTGACAGACAAGAACCCATTGTGGCAGTCACCGTGTCAATCACCCGGTCTTCCTCTCCTTTGCTGGCCCTCTACCCTTCCAAGCATTATGTCCCTCTCCAAGAAACAGTGCCTCCTAGCAACATGCCTGAAGTATGTGAGACCAAACCTCACCATTCTTGTTTCCAAAGAGCACTCTGGCTGCACCCTTTCCAAGACATATTTTGTCCATCCATGGAATGTTCTGTGCTCTTCTGGAGCACCCCAGCTCAAAGGCATCAATTCTTTTTCTGTAATTCTTATTCATTGTCCAACTGTCAGATGCATAGCAAGTGATTGGAAAGACCACGGCCTGAATCAGATGCACCTTAGTCCTCAAGCTGACATCATTGTTGTTGTTGTTGCTTGCCTTTGAGTTGAGCATGACTCACAGGGGCCCTACAAACAAAAGGCCTGAAGCCCTTCTACAATTATCAACATTTATCAAAGTTCATAGAGTTTCCGGAGGCATGTTGTGTAGGAAGAGGATGCCACTCCTGCTTCAAAACCTGTCATAGTATGCTATTGTTGTTATGTGCCACTGAGTCACCTGTGATACATAGTACAGCAGCTCTGAACCCTTCCCTGTCCTGAGCCAGTCTCACTTTCCCAGTGCAATGAGTCTCCTTATTTCCTGACTGCTGGTACCAGGAGTGTTAATTTGGGCTCCAAGTAAGATGAAGTTGTTGATTATCCTGCATGAAAGGTGGGAATTCTATCACCAGATCATTGTTGTGACCCAATAACAATACATACCCACGTTAGTGTCTTGAATCCGCTCCTTATGGAAGATGTTGCAGCACTGGGGGAAGGAAGCTGTGTGAAGCGCATACATGAACTCTCTGTACTTTTTTTATTACTTTTCTGGAAAATAAATTTTAAAACAGTGACTTGGCCTTAAGCCATGCCCAAACAAGATGTGTTTAGGCACACAAACACTTGCATTTTCTTCTACACTCTTCACTAGTAGGACTCCCTATTTCCCTGTGCCTTTCCTGTGCTAGACAGGCAACCACCAGAAATTAGTATGCCCAAGTCATCTCCAAACCCCTCCTTACATGGGTTGCTTTTGAGTAGATCATACAGAGAAAGGATGAGCCACATTGTCTTTGTCTGCGGGTGTTGTTAGGTGACACTGAGGCACCTACAATTCACAGTGACCCCATGAACCACAGATCTGAACCTTGTCCTGCCTACATCACCCTCATGATCTCTGATACGCTCCAGCCTGTTGTTACAGTCACGGTGTGAATCCATCTCCCTGAGGACCTTCCTCTGTTTCTCTGATGCTCCACCTGTCCCAGCCTGATGTCTTTTTCTAAGGACTTTCTAACAACACACCAAGAATAAGTGAGAAGAAGCTTCACCACCCTTGCTTCTAAAGGAGCACCCTCATTCTGCTTCCTCCAAGACAGACCTGTTTACTCTTTTGGCAGGCCATGGGATCTTCTCCAACACCACAACCCAAAGGCGTAAATTGTCTTTGTCCAAAAAAACAAAATAAAACTCCTTCTGTTGCCTTACTAATCACAGAAGCCTAAGAAAATGAAATCTTCTTAAATCCAAGAAAATAAGACCCAGAAGAGCCCCTCTGCATGACAGATGCTCTGTCCTGGTTGAGAGGGTGGGGAACCAGAACATTCACAGACTTGGTTCTCAGCTATGGTCACAAAATGACCCTACTAGAGCATAACAAGGCAGCTCATATTGCACCCCAACTGTCCTCTTCATGATTAAAACAAGTCAAGATATGCCAAGCCAATTACAAGAGTTTTGGGAGCTGAGCAATTCCCAGAAAACTAAACACACAAGCTATTTGTTTGCTGTGGATCAGCTCAGACAACCAGGAAAGGGAAGGCATCAGGGAGCCTCTGCTGAGACATCACACACCAGAGAGGGATATAAAAACCCCTCAGCCTGGAGCTCCCCACTCATTCACTCACTCGCTCACTCACTTTCTCCTCCTCTACCACCTCATCTCCTCCCACCCCACCATGGCCGCCTCCACCGTCTCTGTCTGCTCCAGTGACCTGAGCTATGGCAGCTGCGTCTGTCTGCCTGGTTCCACTGAGTCCTGTACAGGCTCCTCCTGGGAGATGGAAGACTGTCCAGAGAGCTGCTGTGAGCCCTCCTGCTGTGTCCGCACCTGCTGTGTCCCCACTTGCTGCCAGCCCACCTGTTGCGCCCCCACCTGCTGTATCCCTGCCTGCTGCCAGTCCACCAGGCTCACCCTTATCTGCACTCCTGTGAGCTGTGGGTCCAGCCCCTGCCAGTCAGGCTGCATCAGCTCCTGTGAGCCCTCCTGCTGCCAGCAGTCCTGCTGCCAGTCCTCATGCTGCACTTCCTGCCCCTGCCAGCAGACCTGCCGTGTGCCTGTGTGCTGCAAGCCTGTGTGCTGCAAGCCTGTCTGCTGTGGAACCACCACTTGCCCAACTTCCTCCTGCTGCCAGCGGTCTAGCTGCCAGTCCTCATGCTGCACTTCTCCTCCTTGCCAGCAGGCCTGCTGTATGCCTGTCTGCTGCAGACCTGTCTGCTACAAGCCCATCTGCCGCATCCCCGTATGCTGTGGGTCTACACCCTGCTCAGCCTCCTCATACTGCCAGTCCTGTTCCCCCTCCTGCTGCAGGCCCTACTCCTGCATGTCCCTCACCTGCCGCCCTGTGTGCAGGCCCATCTGCTGTGCCCCGACCTCCTCCTGCTGCCAGCCCAGTTGCTACCGCTCAGCTTCCTGCTTGTCCCTGGTCTCCCATCCTGTGTGTTCTCGCCCTGCCTGCTGCAGTACCACTTTGACCCAGAAATCTTCCTGCTGACCACGCTCATGACCCCAGGGAAGTTGAGAGCTTGCCCTGAGTTACTCTAGCACTTAGGCCTCTCCTAAGGCCTCGGATGTTTGCTGCTGAGCTGGAGGCTGTAGAACAATTGAGCTCCCACCCGTGGCCTTACAAGGCGTCTCAGAGAGTCCTCATGGAGGTGGCATCGACTCATGTCTTCTTCCCAAAGACCCTTCTTAAGGCTCAGCTCTGTACTGCCCTAAAGAGTGTCTGTCCTACTCGGCTAGCTGATCAATGGCTCTGGCCCTCTCTGTATGCACTCGTAAGTAAACAAGCAATAAATGCTGCATGACTCTAAGGATGGCACTGGAGTTCTGTGTTTACTATTATTTCTCTGCTTGCCAGCAGGCTTGATTTCCTTCTCTTTGCACACAACATCCTTGTAATCCTGAAAGGGCTTCGTGTGATTTCCTGAGCCCAGCTGGCATGTGGCTCACAGTTACCAGGTTTAGACAGTTCAGGGTAGGGAATGGTTTGCAGCCATATCACCATTTCAGGGTCACCTTGGGCTTCTCCTCCGCAATCATGTGCCATTGTTCACTTGTGTGGTGTGGAGTTGATTCTGACTCACAGTAACTCTGAACAGCAGAGTACAATTCCCTACATGGTTTTCAAGGTGATAATATTCGTGGGAGCCTATCACTAGGTCTTTCCATCCATGGTTTGGCTGATAAATTGTAACTGCTTAACTACTGTGCCACAAGTTCTCCTATTCACTTAACGTTTTACTATGCCAATTTGCCTTTCTTTTCCTCTATAATACTTGGAAATAATAAGTATGATTTACTATGTCCATGTTTTCCAGAGTCTGTAAAAATGTTTTAAAAAGAATTAAAACCTACATATGCAATCTGGTCTGGAAAATAAAGTATTTGAATTTTTAAAATAAACTAGTATAATAATTTTTAAAAACAACAAACAAAGCCCTCCTACATGTGTGTGACCCTATATCCTACTGAGTACATGAGAATGAAACCAGGCAAATCTGCAGTTGACAGTCCATCTCTGTTGTTCACAACCACTGTGAGTAAACATTTCCAGGACCTTTAGTGGCCTTCATTTACTCTAAGGGAAGATGTCAGTTCAATAACTAAAGTCTGTGATTTAAGCCTTTCTTGGGCTTTTCAATTACATACGGGCAACAGTTGAACAGCAGAAAAAGAAGACAGAAAATCGATGTGTTTGAACTGTGGTGTTGGCAAAGAATACTGACAATACTGTGAATGGCCAGAGAAATAGACAAATTTGTCATGAACAAGATTGTGCCTTGAAGGGAAGAATAGTAAGGCTTTCTCTTGCTTATATTGGACATGTCATCAAGACATAGCCATTCTTTGATAAGAGCATTGTTATTGTTATTTTATACTGTAGAGTCGGAACCAACCCATAGGTGATTTGTCAGTGGGTGTTCAGAGACAGTACATCACATGGGAGGAGATTGTCCATCTTTCTCCAATGGGGCAGCTGGTGGATTCAAATCATGTGCCTTCAGGTTAGCAGCCAGTTCCTTATAACAGCATTGTTGTTGTTGTTGTTGTTGTTGTGTGCCATTGAATCACTTGCAACTCAAGCAACCCTATGTAAAACAGTTCTGAATGCTGTCCTATACCGTACCAACGTTACTGTCTCTGACACACCTTCCCCCATTACCCCAGTCACTGAATCAACCCATCTCATTGAGGATCTTCCTCTCTTGCACTGTCCCTCCAACCTCCCAAGCATGATGTCCCTCTCCAAGGACTGGTGTTCCTTGCAACATGCCCAAAGTATGTCAGATTGAGCATAAGAATCCTTACCTTCAAGGAGCAGCCTGGTTTCACCCTTTCCAGGATGAACCTATTTATTCTTGTAGCAGTCTACAGTATAATCAATACTCTTCTCCAGCACCACAGCTCAAAGTCATCAATTCTCCTTCTATCATCCCTAGTCATTGTCCTTATTTCTGATGCATAGCAAGTAATTGTGAAAACTATGTCCTGGATCAGGCACATCTTAGTCTCCAGACTGGCATCATTGCTCTTCGATACTCTGGAGAAGTCCCTGACAGCAGATTTTTTTCAGTGAAAACTGTCTTTTGATTTCCTGGATGCTGGTGCCAAGAGTGAGAAGAATGAGAATCCCAGAATACTTGATTGTGCTTATGCAAAACCTATACTTGGGCCATGAGGCAGTTGTCAGAAGAGAGCAAGGAACCATTGCAAAGTTCAAAATTGGGAAGGGTATATGCCAAGGATGTGTTCTATCTCTATATCTTTTCAATCTATATACAGAACAGATAATCTGGAAGGCTGGGCTCTACGAGGAGGAATGTGGCATCAGGATTGGGGGAAAACTCATCAACAACCTTTGTTATGCAAATGACACAACCCTGCTTGCTGAAACTGAGGAGGACCTGAAGCGCTTGCTGCAGATGGTCAAGGACTGCAGCCTTCAATTGAAGCTCAACATTAAGAAAACAAAGATTCCCACCACTAAGCCAATTGGCAGCATCATGATAGACGGTGAAGAGATTGAGATTGTTGACAGCTTAGGTTTTCTTGGCTCCACAATCAACATTCTTGGTACCAGCAACCAGGAAATAAAAAGATTAATTGCATATAATAGCATTAGGTTTGGTAAAGCAGAGACCAATAAAATGAGAGAAAACTTCTGTAAAATGGGTTGACCTAATGGCTGCATGTGGCAGAATCTGCATAAGCTGCGTTCCATTGAACAAAAGGTTACCTTGAGTTGGAGTACCTCATTGGCAGCTAATAATAGTAAGATCAGAGTGGCAGAACATATGTTAGGTATTTTAAAATATTGGCAATAATTAGGTTTTCTTGGCTCCACAATCAACATTCTTGGTACCAGCAACCAGGAAATAAAAAGATGCTGGGGCAGGGGGACATGCTGGAGCAGGGGGCATGCTAGGGCGGAAGGACAGGAGGAACAGGCCTGGACATCCTCATCGAGAGTCGGGGCCTGAGGTCAAGGGGCTGAGGAAGGCCTAGGCTGCGAGCTCAGAAGTGATACCTCCCGGACGACACCCTGGGTTTCTCTGGAGCTTCCCCTCCAGGCAGTCCAGCCCTGAGCTGGACCCCCATCCTCCCTCCTCCCTCCCCGGCAGAGCTCGCTCAGGATGTGGCTGGAGAACAACCACTTGGCCAACTGACTGGAAGAGATCTATATTTGTTGCCATTTCGAAGAAAGGTGACCCAACTGAGTGTGGAAACTACAGAACAGTGTCATTGATTTCACATGCAAGCAAGATTCTGCTGAAGATCATCCAAAAACGATTAGAACAGCACATCAGCAGAGAACTGCCAGAAGTTCAGGCTGGGTTTAGAAGGGGTCGTGGTACTAGGGATATTGTTGCTGATGTTAGATGGATCTTGGCTGAAAGCAGAGAATACCAGAAGAATGTCTATCTGTGTTTCATTGATTATGCAAAGGCATTTGACTGTGTGGATCATAACAAACTGTGGCTGACTCTGAGAAGAACGGGAATCCCAGAACATTTAATTGTGCTAATACGAAACCTATACTTGGACCAAGAGGCAGTAGTCAGAACAGAGCAGGGTAACACTGCATGATTCAAAATTGGGAAGGGTGTACGCCAGGGATGCATCCTGTCTCCATACCTTTTCAACATGTATGCAGAGCAGATTATCCGAGAGGCTGGGCTCTATGAGGAGAATTGTGGCATCAGGATTGGTGGAAGGTCTATTAACAATCTCCGTTATGCAGATGACACAACCCTGCTTGCTGAAACTGAGGAGGACCTCATGCACTTGCTGCGAAGGGTCAAGGACTGCAACCTTCAGTATGGACTGAGGCTCAATGTCAAGAAGACAAAGATTCTCACCACTGGACCAATTGGCAGCATCAGGATGGATGACAAAGAGATTGAGATTGTTCACAGCTTCAGTTTGCTCGGCTCCACAGTCAACACTCTTAGCACCAGCAGTCAGGAAATCAAAAAGCGTATCGCGATGGGAAAGTCTGCTGTTAGGGACCTCTCTAAAGTACTCAGGAGCAACAGTGTCTCTCTGGAGACTAAGGTGCGCCTGATACAGGCCATGGTATTTGCAATCGCTTGTTATGCATCAGAGAGTTGGACAATGACTAGGGAGGACAGAAGGAGAGTAGATGCTTTTGAGCTGTGGTGCTGGAGAAGGGTACTGAATGTACCGTGGACTGCCAGGAAAACAAACGGATTTATCTTGGAGAGGATTAAACCAAGCTACTCCTTGGAGGCAAGGATTCTGGGGCTTCGTCTGACATACTTTGGACATGTTGCCAAGAGGGACGGGTCCTTGGAGAGGGACATCATGCTTGGGAGGGTTGAGGGACAACGCAGGAGTGGAAGACCCTCTATGAGATGGATTGATTCAGTGACTGGGGTAATCGGGATGGGTGTATCAGAGGCGGTGCGGTTGGCGCAGGATAGAGCAGGGTTTAGGGCTGTTGTGCATAGGGTCGCTATGAGTTGGAAACGACTCGATGGCACATAACAACAACAACAACAATAGTAAACAGCAAGTGCATTATGACTGAATGAATATGCATGACCCAAATGCATTGGTCAGAACAAAAAAGACACTGTGAAGATTCTTGGATACTTAGAAATCTTTAAAAAGTATGCTGGTAATAATAATACGTCTTATAGGTCATACTGTGTCTTAAAAATAAGTGTTGAGACTCTAACTCTTGTACCTATAAAAATGACCCTATTTGGAGGCAAGACAGTTTCTTTTGTTATGTTAATGAAGTCATACCTGAGAATTCCATGTAGTGTCTTATAAAAGACCAGAATAAACACAGAAACACACAGAGAAGGAAGAGAAGATACACAACTACTAGCTCAGCAATATCAAACATTGCTGGCAGCTGCAAGCTAACATAAACAAGAAAAAACATCTTCTGAGAGTCATGCTGTTCTGATTTTCAGCTTCCTAAACTGTGAGACCATAACACATTGAGGAGAGAGAGAGGTT